GGAGGAGGAGGAGGAGGAGGAGGAGGCGGTGGCAGCACTGGAGGAGCACTGACCTTCATAAGATGAAACTAGACAAGGGGGAGAGAGGTCCATCTAGGATGCTCTGGGCAAAATCTTATACATGTAAAGATGCAGGAGCTGTGGAGGGTGAGAGGTGCAAGAGAGAGGCACAGAGAGGGCAGCAGACAATGCCTTCTGGGCTGTAAACCAAACTTTCCAGAACATCACTGATATGCCCAGACCAGAGACAGAATGTGTTATCTGTCTACTTTTTGTTGGGACTATGAGACTGAACAAATGCTGAGCCATACCATGCATTCCATAGAACTTATGAGGGTCCCATCTGGCATCATGGCATTGCTGTGGAAACCATCAGGCTGTATTCATCTAGGCCACATGTCTCCAAATAGTGTTTTTATTCAGACAGTCCCTCCCCAAAGCCAGAGGTGGGCAAACATAACCTTCAAGAATACAGTCAACAGATTGGAAGGCACCAGAGTCTCTGTGCTGGAATCCTCAGGACACTGTCAGAATGGTCAGGGAAGATAGGTACTCACTGCAGCTCCAGCATTCGAGAAAGTCCTAATCAGAATCATGAGCATTGCAAGATAGCCAGGCAAGCACTGAGGTCAGAGCTGAGGTTAGAGTATGGTGAGACCCCAGGCTGCTGAACAGATGGCATCCCCCAGGGTAGAACACTTGGCTCCCTCCCTCTGCTCTGCCACGTGAAGGACTGTAGCAAAGGGTGCTGCAGCCCCAACTGAAAGTCATGATGTGCAGTCTAAGAATCAGAGAGAGGCACACTGTGAAGCAAGGGCCTCTGCGGGAATTCTGGAAGCTTCCTAAGCAGGCCCATCTTCTTTGTGGACATGTGGCCCACCCAGGCATGTGGGGACCTCAGCTTAGAAGGGCCCATGCTTGATTTAATGCTGTAATCTTGAGAAAATAAGTTTCAGTACTGAGACATGAACCTAGGGCCTCACACATGCCAGGCTCCACCACTGAGCTGTATATCCTCAGCCCTCTTTTTATTTCTTTACTTTGATACAGGATCTTATTAAGTTGCTCAGGCTGGCCTTGGCTTAATCTGTAGCCCAAGAAAGCCTTGTAATCCTCCTGCTTCAGCCTCCCAAGTAGCTAGGATTACAGGCCAAACTTGAAATTCTTTTTTTTTTAATATTTATTTTACATGTATGAGTGTTTGCCTACATGTATGTATGTGTGCCACATGCATGCCTGTGCCCAAGGAATCCAGACGAGGGCACTGGATACCCTGGAACTGGAGCTACAGGTGATTGTGAGCCACAGTTTGGGTTTGGGAAACTGAACCAGTGTGCTGGTTGATTCATATTCCATTAACATAAACTAGAGTAACGTGGGAAGAAGGTGCCTCAATTAAGGAAGTTCTTACATCAACTTGGCCTGTGAGACATTTTCTTAATTGTTAGTGGATGTGGGAGGGCCCAGAACACTGGGCGGTGCCGTCCCTGGGCAGGCGGGCCTGGGCTGTATAAGACAGTAGCTGAGCATGCCAAGGGAAGCAAGCCAGTCAGCAGTGTTCCCCTCTGGTTTCCACTTCAAGCTTCTGCCTTGAGTTCCTGCCTTGGTTTCCCCCAATGATGGACCCTAAGTATAAGAGGAAATACTCTCTTTCCTCCCCAAGTTGGTTTTGGTCAGTGCTTTATTAAAGCAATAGAGAAATCAAACCAGAACAACCAGGCTCCTCTGTAAGAGTAGCAAGTGCTCTTAACCACTGAGTCATCTCTCCTGGCTTGAAACTCTTAGTAACTTTACAGTAAAGGGCCTCGAGTTCTCACTTTGCACCAAATTTTGCCAATTCTACTCCTAGATTCCATTGCTTGATTATCCTACATGTATATTTCCCTTGTTACAGTAGTTGGGATATTTTTCCTCATCAATTAAACCATAAGCCTGAGGGTCTTTCAGGAATTGTTTACTAACTTTATGTTTTGCCTTAAACTGATCTGGGTATACAATAGATGCCTAATAAACTGTGAAATGCTGCGGTTGGCATCATTTCAGTCTAGGGGTTATTGTCACATTCTTTTTCTCGGCCAATTAAAGAATTAAAAAGCGGGAAAAATCTCAGACCAGCAGAGAGCAACAGCCAAACAAATGTTTATTGAAAGACGAAGAATCCCATCCATACACATAAACAATCACACATACACACACACATTCATACAGAAAGATGAGGCCCTCCACACATCAAGAGGGGACTGGAAATCTAACATCCCCCTGGAAGACTGGGTTTCAATGGTTTCCCCCACCCCTAATTTTGGATTGGTCAACTTAAAGAAGTGGGTTGTGTGGGTAAGCTTATAGGCTTATTAATCCAAATGATGAGGTGTCCAGGTCTACCATGACTCTAAGCAGGTCAGATGAAGGGCCCCTGTTAGAATTAAAATAAAGTCTTCCTGCCAGAGACCAAGAGGAGGCCAGAAGTGTCCCATCCTTATTACTACTCAGTGACTCTGTCAGGGCCCCTTACACTGACATGGTTATATTTGTTCATTAATTTACTCAATAAACATTTAAAGAAGGGGGACAATCTGGGAGGAGCTTTATTATTAGAAGAATACTCATAAAATCCTTCCAATTAACAGATTAACAAGCGGTCCCAGCATTGACTTCCAACACCAGCCTGTCGTCTGGGTTGAACTTGGTTTTCACCCTCCAGCCAGACAAGTAAAACAGTGGCCTGCACGTGACCACGTTTTAAAGATTAAAAAGCAGGATGGCATCCATGTGACTGTGTCATCCGGGCTCAAATGCAGACTTCATTTCCGGTTACCTGCTCCCACAGGAGCTCTGCATGAGCCAGAGACTTCGAATGCTTGACTGTGCCCCCTTTGTCTTGACAGGCGTGAGTAACGCGGAGGCGCGGCCACCAGGGAAGTCTCCGCACTGCAGCGTGAACTGGGTCGTGGGCAACACGGACCTGGAGATCGTCAACGCCACGACGGGGAAACGGAGCTGCGGGGGCTCATCCCGGCTCTGCAAGCACGTGTTTTCTGCGCGGTGGGCACGGCTGTATGGTAGGGTAGGTCGCACTTGTCCTTTCTAGGGGGAAGCTGGCTGCACTGGGTTCAAGTTGTCGCCCTGAGCCCCCATTCCCCTACCGCCAAGACATCTCCTCTACAGGCTTAAGAGCCAGCGACCCAGGCATGGTCCTCAGCGTTTAAAAAGTGTCTATGGGAAGTCAAGCACCTACTGCTGCCAGGTGCCATGCCAGCTGGCTTGCCCAGAATGTCATCAGAAAAGCACATAAAGGGGCTGGAAAGATGACTCTGCAGTTGAAAAGGACTTGGTGCTCTTGCAGAGGACCGGGTTCGGTTCCCAGAACCCACATAGTCACTAACAACTGTCCATAACTCCAGTTCCAGAGGATCCAGTGCCCTCTTCTGGCCTGAGCTTGCTCCTGCATGTATGTGGTGCATGTATATGCACACAGACCCATATACATATACATAACATAAAATAATAATTTTTAATTAAAAAAAGAATACATTAAAACTTCTTTAATTCAATATTATTCCTAGTTTAGATGTAAAGAAAGTAGGTAAGGGCTGGCAAGTTGGCTCAGGGGTGAAGGCATGGGCCACCCACCAAGCCTGACCATCTGAATTCAGTCCCTGAGACCCACATCATAGAAGAGTACCAACTCCTCCTAGCTGTCCACGCACATACTATGGCATGAAGACATACACATGCACATACATGCACATGAAGGGAAAGAAGGAAAGAAGGGAAGGAGGGAGGGAGGGAGAAAACCAATGAACCTGCTTTCCACTCACAGAGATAAATGACTACGTTTGAGGGTTCAAAACTGAAATGCCTATTTTTATGTATTTAAGGCATAGCAAATTATAATCAAATATTGTACAGATAACCAAAATACAAACCTAACAAAGAAAAAATATTTTGCTCATTTTTCATCCCTATCTTTTACCCAGGAAGTGCCAGGCTGGGAGTCATAGCTGGGGACTTGCTGTGCAAGCATGGGGATTTGAGTTCATCCCCAGAGCCCATATAAAAATGCCAGGTGTGGTGGTGCATGCTTATACTCTCAGCAATAAGGAGGCAGAGACAGGTGGATCCCCAGGCTGACTGTCCTGCCAGCCTAGTGTACCCATTAAGTCCAATGAGAGACACTGTCAATAAATAAACAAATAAAAAATAAAGGTAGGTGGTTCATTAAGAACAACACCTAGGTTGACCTCCAGCCTCCATGCACACCTACACACACATGTGTAGCCACATGAGCACCCACGTGAATGTACACACCCACAAGCATACACATAACACAAAAAAATTGGAAAAAAATAGTGTTTTGGTTGATGTATCAGCAGGACAGCAGCTCTGTAAACAAATGTTTTTGTCACTGCAGAATCTGAATACTGAACAGTTATCTCAGAGCCTGGCAGTGCCTTTTGCATCTGCCAGAGCTAGGACAGATGTAGGTCTGTGGCCAGTATGCTGCAGCTCTGGCTGAAATGCTCATCACCCTTCATGCCCTCTCTGGGCCCCTTTCCCACATCTCACTTCCTCCAAAGTCTTTGGACGTTCTGGAAAAGCACTGGCTCTTGTCTGACTAGACAGGTCATCTTCATGTCCACATGTTCATGGTGACATTGTTCAGTGAGTGGATACGTTGATCTACAAACCCTCCTGGAAGACCCTGCAGAGTGATTGAAGCTCACCCACCACACGCCTGCCCTCTGCCCTGCTGACCATCTCCACAGTCAGGGGGACTGAAGTTGTGTTCACACCCTGCCTCTTGTTGCTCAAGAGTATATCGCTGATAACTTAGGAACTTGATGGAGGACACAAGCTGTCTTTACTGCCCTCCTGGTTGACTCACAGCATAACTCAAAGCCCGTCTTCTCTCCCTCCTGACATGATTCTGTTAGTGCACACAGCCATCCTGGAAATCCTTCTCCAGAAAGGAATTAAAAGGCAGTGGTTTTGTACTTTATGCTGTTTTGTTTCTGAGTTTCAATAAATTATTTTCTCTTTTGAGGTAAGGTCTTGTTACATAGCCGAGTTCAGCCTTGAACTCACAGCAGACCTCCTGCCTCAGCCTCTGTGTGCTAGGATTACAGACATGTGTCACATGTCACACCCGGCTAAGAAAACAGTGTTAAATTCCTAATAGAAGTCATATGTTATGTTACAAGTGGGTTAGCCACCTGCACTTCTGATGAAGCCAAGTGTCCTGAACAACTGGGTTTTACATACAATCTTCCAATAGCTTTTTGATGTGTATGTATGTGTACACATGAGTGTAGATACCGGAGGTCAGCATCAGGTCTTCCTCAATTGATTCTCCACCGTTTTTTTGAGACAGGGTCTCTCACCAAACTTTGGGCTCACAAAGTAACTAGACTAGCTAGCCAGCAAGAACCAACCTGCCCGCCTCCACCTCCCCAGTGCTGCAAATGCAGGCACACACTACTCTATCTTGCTTTTCACATGGGTGCTGAGGATCTGAACTCAGGTCCTCATAATTGTCCAGCAAGCACTTTACCAAATGAGCCACTTCCTCAGCCCCTGTCACTACTGTGTTAAAGAAAGATGAGGCCAAGAGCTGGTGTTCTTCGCTTGTGAAACCCCTTGATAGAGGCTCCTGTTTCTCCTAGTGACTGAGCATTTTTTTCTCCCTTCCACAGCTGAGCATGCGAATCCCAGGCCATGGAGACACACCATCCATGTACTGTGAGGCCAAACTGGGGGCTCACACCTACCAGTCTGTTAAACAACAGCTCTTCAAGGCTTTTCAGAAAACTGGTCTGGGCACCTGGGTAAGAAAACCACCAGAGCAAGATCAGTTTCTACTAACTCTCTAAGTACCAGACTCCTTTGCTATTGGACCAGAGTGAAACACCTGGAGAGGATGCAAGCATATGTCAGAGTGAAGTATCCATCGATTTTCAGCATACATTTTCCATCACTGTCCCAGAAAAACAAGCATCTCCATGTTTGGATCAACAACTAGATTTGAACTTGGGTCACGTTTCTCCCCAAGTTGCTAGTCCCAAGAACTCCGTCCACCATAGCTAGAGGTATCAGTGCCATTGCATTGGCTCCAGCCCTTGGTGGTGGTATTAAAGGAAAGCTTCTATTCACTGAAGGGAAGCTTGGATGAAGGCTTAAAAAGTGGTATTGAAGTGTAGTCAGTTAGAAACAAGCTTCATGAATCATTCTCTGTGTCCATGCCCTGCCACAGGCCTCTCTAGTGGTGTGTTTGGGTCTCACCAACACAAGTTTATGTGACACTTGAAGATAAGCCACAAGCAAAGAGAAAAGCCAGGAGCTCCCCAACTCCAAAGAACCCAACAGGAATGCTCTAATGCCTTCGTTATTCATTTAGAACTCTCCTTTCAGAGGGGACTTGAGGTGGGCACTCCTTAAGAACAACTAAAATAGAACCAGAAACATGAAAAACATAATTGCAAGACAAAGGAATAGGGGCCCAAGGCACAAATGAGTCATGACCTATGACCTGAGAAAACCATTTTTAAATAACCCACTGATGGAGTATTAAAGACCATCCCAGACCTAGTCAATTGATCAGGACTCTTCATTGCTTTTTGTAGGTAATTATAGCCCTCAAAGTTTAAGTTGTGTAAGAGTTTGTCAATAACCTACAACTCTCTGCTAGGTAATAATAAGGAAACTGAGTTTTAGACCAAATTCAAACCTTTTAGCTGGATTTTTATTTATTTTTATTTTATGAGTATGAATGTTCTGCTTGCGTAAGTACACCCTGTGCATACAATGCCTGCCGAGGTCAGAAGAGGGTGTCAGATTCCCCTGGAACTGGAGTTACAGACAGTTATTAGCCGCCATGTGGGTGCTGGGAATTGAACTCAGGTCCTCTGAAAGAGCAGCCAGAGCTCTTATTCTCTGAGCTGCTTTCTAGCTCTTTAAATGAATTTTTGTTAGAAAGCATGCACACACACACACCACAAAACAATCTTTTTTTTTTTTCGGTCTTTTTGAGACAGGGTCTTTCTGTAGCCCCAGCTGGCCTGGAACTCGCTATGCAGACCAGGCTGGCCTCGAACTCACAGAGATCTGCTGGCCTCTGCCTCCCGAGTGCTGGGACAAAAGGCATGCGCCACCACGCCTGGTCATAAAGCAATCTTTATATTTAAGGAGATTTCTCTTCTTTTAGGTTCCCCAATCATCATCTTGCATGATAATAATTATTAATAATAATTTAACACGGCTCCCAAAATGGCAAAGAAGAGAAATCTACCACCTTCAGAATAGGCATCAGAGTTCAGAGCTGGACTATTTAGTCTGTATCATCACCCTGGGGGCTATGGATCTGGCCAAAGGAAGGCATGTCAACCCATATTCCTTGAATTATTGGAGCTCATGTCTAACATCTATTCATGCTAGTTAACATATGTGCAATTTGATATTTTAATCCTTATCTGAAGAGCATGGCAGAAGTACCTCTGGAGTGTGGTTTTCCTACTGAGAATGCCAGCTGACCAACCCTACGCCACGCTGTGTATATCCTGGTATAACCTGCAGGAGAAGGAGAAGGAAGCAAGCATGAAACACATTGAGTTGTAGCTCTTTGTTATAAAAATGAAGAGTAGAGACATCAGAATGAAAACATAGGCATTTCCTGGGATTTTATTTAAGATCAAATTTATCACTCAAGTCCTTTTAGAAAAGAATATGCATCTGGTAGTATACAGCATTTCCAAGGTAAAGTTTCAAAAGACATGCAGATATTTTTGCAAATAAATTATTCATGTTAATCTTTTATACTGTTGAGGAAAGTGAAGTCTTAACGCCACATAAAATCAAAGAGTCTGTTCATATTACTCTCTGATAACTTGATCTTTCACTAGGAGTAAACTTAAAGACCCAAGAAATCTTGAGAGCTGAGTTGTAGCTTAGAAGCCATCCTTCAACCATTAGATACCTGAAGCCTTTCACTGCAAATCCTTAGGCACAGTCAGTTCCTAGCTGAAATCTAGGGCCTGCCCCCCAAATTACTCACATTCTGAGCTGTTGATTGGAGAAGATGCAGCACTTTATAGCAATGTGATCAAAATGGTGTTTTGGGATTCAGTGGGGGACTGGTATAGACAGCAGAGTCTTAAACATAACAGGAAAGAAGCAGAATGGAGGATCCCTCAAGTGGTCTCATTGGGCACCACTACTTTGGCCTGATTGGAGGGACATAAAACACAATCACCTTACCCAACAGTGAACACCCTCACATGTCTGAATTGCAGCTCTGTGGTCATGACTCATGTTGTCTAAGGCACTGTTTCTCCAGAAACAACCCAGACTTCTCTTAAATACGAATACCTCCTGCCGAGAAAAGCCAACCATTGGTTCCACTCTATCCCTGGCACTAGCATAGAGATTCACTAATTAAGTCAACAGGGGACTGGGGACTCCTTGGGAGGAAAGCTAAAGGCTCTGTGGTGGTTTATAGCAGGAAAAGATCTTTTAATGCTGCAAAAAGTAATTTTAAGTAGCTAGGGCTTTCCCAAAAAGACATCGTGGAAAATACTTGATCTTTTTAAACAGTTGGCTATCTTGAAAGATGCTTGTCAGCATGGATGTGAAATGGAGAGGGAAACGGGATGAAGGAGGATGAGCATCCCTGAGTCTATGCAATGAAAAGAGAAAGAGTCGCTGAAGTAATCTAGGGTGAGCCACATGCTGAGAAGCAGGGGTTGGGAAAGGACCATCTTCAAGGATGAAGGAGAAAACAGAGAGGAGCTCTGGCTGATTCTAGAAGTGGCCAGTCACAGGCTCTGACATAGTGTATGGTGTACCTGGATCAAACCCTGAGGCAAAAGAGTCAGTAGACATGCCTATGGATTTGTCTCACTCCCATCAGCACAGAAGCATCCCATCCTAGCACTACTCTTAGCCCAGGCTACCCCACATTTTAATCACTGAGATCATGTCTTTGGAGTAGCTAAACACATCTGCATCTGAAGTTTCTACAAGACAAAATACAGACAGGTGATGTGTAACTTTTAGTCACCCTGAAACAAATCTAACAAAGCAACTCAAAAGGAATATGGGTAGAATATAAAGTCAGGGCACATCCAGACATCTAAGTCAACTTGATTATTCCTTATCCATCTGATTTATCTCAAAACTGCCACTCCCTCCCCCCAAACTGTTTGTGTTTTATACCACAAGCAGCTCAAAGTCCTTTGTTTTCAACACTTATGTATTCTGTGTTCATAAACTTAGCTTCACCCCTAAAATCCAAATAAAAGCCAACTTCATCTTTATCTGCCTCCAAAATACATGTTACTTTCCTCTTGGTTCTTGGTCAAAACATCAGTGTCTGATCATTTGTGAGACTTTCCACAGGATTGAGTCCCATGTTAAAGGCCAGAAGGCCAAATAAGCATCATCGCTCATCCACCTCCAGCAAAGGGTTTTGCAACAATGTATAATATCAAGTTATTGAATTTAGGATTTCTTTGAACTTTGTGGGGTTTTGCCAAGGAAAGGATTTGCAAGTCTATAACTATTGTTTCCTTTTTACCTCTGTGATTCTATTTAAATCTGTATATATCTATCTTGTCACTATGATTTTGTGATGTCTTTTGTTGTTTCTCAGAAATGTCAGACTGAGTTACTTTTCCAACAAATACATAGCTCATATTTTTTCCACATAATTTCCTTTTCACAGGACGGTTCTTATCAATAAAATTAAATGTTTTTTGGTATAGTGTTTACCATATCTGGAGAGCCATAAATAGTAAATACATAGTATATCAATACCCAGAATAGAATAGTTAGAATATTTTGATGAAATCCTATTTTTAGATTATAAATTTCGAGATGAGTCTATAGTATCTTGTTTAAAAAAAATTAAAAAGACAATTGAAATTTAAATATAGTAGACTTTTTTTTAATTTAGGGAAATGATAATGATCATTTTTAAAAAGCCATTCTAAGAAAATAATCTAATTGGCCCAAAATACAATAAATATCACTTTCTAATAGCAACCAAAGTGAAGTTAGAAAAAGCCTTTCTTTTTATGTACTACAATTTGACTGCTGTAACCACCTCTTTTGACAGAAGTCTCAGCATTCAGCAGAACACGTTTCTCCATCACTTTATCTAGGGCAGTTTTCAGCGTCTACAGCCTAGTACAGAATAAGGAAATCCACTATCCTGAACATTTTGAAGAGATATCCCAGCTTTGGAATTTTGCGGAGTTCATGGAGGAGTGGAGAATTAAAGCTCTGCACCTCAGAAAAGGGCTACAGCACCACGAGGTACTCTTAGCGGAGAAAAGGCCACCCTCTCTGGTGTCGCTAGCCATTTAATGCCTCTCACAGGCAGAAGTGATATAATGCTATTGGGGATGACGTGGAGTAGGGCCAGAGAACTCATAGCGTGGCGTCTAGCGGTACCTGGCGCTGGCGCTGTCCGCGATGCTGATTCTACAGAGCTTAACAGGGAGGTTGGGTCCCTGGATACTGTCCTTGGTCCTGACTCGTGGTTTCTGGGCATGCTAGGCTATCAGTGACTCTTGTCGAACTTCTCTCACAAACTCTGAATCGGATAAAGGATGTTGGAGAAATAAGGAGGCAGAAACAAAAAGGCAATAGATGCAAGTCACCAGAGAGATGACCATGGAGAACAGAGCTTTGTTCCCATATGGTTTCTCCCACCCCATTTTCTGGGACACCAGAAAATGAGGTGACTGTCAGCGTCACCATTTGCTCATTCTCCCAGAAATTCTACCTCTTTGAACCCTTTCTCACCTTTCTCTCCCCCTTCCTCCCACCTTTTTATTGTCTGTGCCTCCTGCTGCTGAACCTCTGCTTTGTTCTGATGCTCTGATATATCTGAGAGGAGTCAGGCACACCTCTGCCCTGAGCTGATCCATGTAGCAGATTGGTGCTCACCGTCAGGACGCGTCCCATGTTCCCATCTGATATCTTGACTACAGGGATTTATAACAGTCGTTCTGGATTCCCAGAGTATGTCCATTTCATCTGACCTCCAACCACAAGGCTCACAGATGGCCACAACTCTAGAAAATTGAGCCAAACAATATTATTCTTTCAGAGAAGTGTACAGTATCAAAAACTGCAGAAAGAAGTAGCTTGTTTCTCAACTCATTGTTCTAAAAAGAAGTTGGAGAGATGAAGCATTCTGTAAAAATAAATATAAAGTTATCTGGATTCTATTGCCTCTTTTCTATCACCCTACAGTCTGTGAATCAATTAAAAAATCTTCCCCAGCAGTGCCCAGTTAATTTTCAGCACTTTTTAAGCAAAATTAACTTAACAAATAGTAATTCTTAATTGAAGGTATGTACATAAAAAGCATGACTGAATGGCAATACTGTACCAATGAATGTACATTTGTAACATTTGTAAAAAAAAAAAAAAACAGAAAACAAAAAAAACAAAACCTTACAATATGAATTTACATATGTTAATTTACTTCTTCTAAGTTCTGTAAATTGCACTTCAGTGATATCTGATAAGTGAATGTTTCTGTTAAGTGAATAAAAATATCAAGTAAAACTATTCTTTCCTGGATTTGGGGGCCTTTTACATCAAGCAGCGTGCTCAAGGTCTCTGGAAAACTGTGATATACAGGGTTTAGCTAAAGTCTGGAAAGAGTCCACCCTTTTCAAAGAAATAGCATATTTAACATTCAAACCTTTTTCTTCTTATAATAATTATGTCAGTTAGTGGAATATGCCATAGCAATAATTACCATCCCAGATATTTCTGTTTTAGATTTGATAAATATGAACTAGTTAAATTATCACACAGAACATGGAATGAAAAGATATGTCTTCA